TTCATTATATCGATAGTATTAGTAATGATTCAAGTTCTTAACTATTAATAATATATGATAGCTACACAGCATGCAGTACCGTGCAAGACCAGCTATGCAGTAATGATTAATATTTTATTTAACTAACTTATTTAGATATACTGATATTTATCATATTAGAACAAATAGATCACCTTTATCACAAAGATTTTATTAAGTAAAATACTCTAATTTTATTATTTTCACAAATATTACAATAGTGCTATTATATCTGTTACCCTGAGGTGCACTGTGGACTATGTAAATCAAAACTATATATAGTATCATATAAAAATTAAATAACTATTGACAGATTTAATAAAAGTTTAGTCTGTATATATTATTAAATTAGTCAATAATTAGATCATTCAATTAATAATCTACTTATAATCACTAAACAGTAAAAAACTAAGTTTCTAGCAATGCTTGTTATTTCCTGGACTTCTGGAGAAGTAACAAATATAACCGGGGAAATAACTAGCATTGTTAAAAACTCGATTTTTTTAATTACTGTAAAGTAGTAATTATGAGTTGTAAAACTTGTTATAACATTATCTAAAAATGAATAATACCCTTATTTCACCACTATGGAAAAATAACCTGGTATATCTTTGGCCTGCTTTGGTCTCTTTAGACCTCAGAAAACCAGAGACTCACTCTTATACCTGCTGTTGCAGGATGACTTTTTATAAGTGCGCCAGCATTCTTGCTCATGTCTATACCCATGCCCATGCCTGTGCAAATTTATTGTAATATAATTCTACCTTTAGTAAATATTTATTTCTAGTTATTAATTTTTTAAGTTTATTATATATATATATTGTATATTTATATCAATTATATTATATATACTATATATTAATATAAATTAAATTATAGTATAAGTTATAAGTTAAGCTAGTTTAAGCCATAATTTAAGCCGTAGCTTAATTAATTTAAACTACGGCTTAAACTCTAATTTAAGCCATAGCTCAAGTTATAGCCAATTGATTATTTGTCTAGTTTAAATTATATCTTCTAAAATTTTGGCTTAGGCTTTAGCCATAAATTTATAAGCCAATCCAAGCTAATCAAGCCAATTGCATCTCTACACATAGCCTTATATATTGTATTATTGAAAAATTAAAAGAAATGTTTGAGCCAACAATTATTAATATAGATTACTCAAGTATTGAAAATGAAAAAGATGCATTTGATGATGATGAAAAACTAACTAATGAAGAACAAATTATGCTAAATAATTCTAGTAATACTATTGACTTGCTAAATGAAGTTAAAGCAAAGATATATACAATA